GTAATGTGTGTGAATGCCGTCTCTGGCAGTGTGGTGTTGTTTGTTTGGGGGTTTTGTTTGATTTCCTCTAGTCCTATGCTGTTACTTTCACTGCGCAGGCAGTGATAATTCAGTTGGCTGTGCAACTGGGTAGCCATAATAATGCTGTCAAGGTGCATCTGTTACTGTGTTTAATATGTATGTTCTGCTCAGTGCAGCCTTGTGTTAGCAGAGAATCTGGACCTTGATTGATTGCAGTCTGTCTTGATTGCAGCTTTTTTTGTTTGTTTTTCCCAGTTGCTCCTTAATGGTCATAAACCATTCAAAGATGAAAAATAGTCCCAGCATCTTGCAACCTCACCTTTAGATGTTTTGATTTTTACAGAAGTGAAATGCTGTGAGCAGCAAGTCCAGAATTTCTAAGGCTAGTGCCATTCTCTGCTTGTGAGAAGAATATGTCACAGAGGAGGCTTTAGGCTGCAGCTGACAGGAGTTGAGCCTGCTCTCTAAGCGGGGTTTGCTGCAGCAGGGGCAGGCAGTGAAGGGAGATGGCTTCAAGGAATAATTTAGAACCTTATGAGCTCCTGCTGTCAGACCTACCCTAACAGTGTATGGCTTGTTTTTCATTGCTGTTTCAAGTTCAGCAGGGAGCATGGTGTATCCCAGGGCTGAGGGGCTGTTAGTCCAGTGCACTGTATTTTAAAAATCAACTTATTTTCCTGTACTGTTACACTCATTCCTACCCTGATAACAGAATGCTAGTGCATGGTACAAAGATGTAAGGGTTTTTTCTTTGTTTCAATGTGAGTGATTTAATTTTTATGGTTGGTATTGTGTGATGGAAGGAGATGATATTGGAAAACAGTGAGGGACACCGAGCCCATGCAGCTACTGCTGCCATTAACTGAGCCCTAGTGCTGCTGAAAAGTGGCACTTGGAAACTCCACTGGATTTTGTCTAAGCATTCTCAGTCCTACTTGTTATGGTCTCATCTTATTCCCCAGCCCGTCTGTTTCGTTCAGCTAAATTATGCTTAAATTCTATTTACAACTAATTTTTGGTTGTTCCTCTCATGCAGGTATTGGACAGGGAGATTGACCTGATTTCCAGACTGCAGTTTATCGGGCTACTTCTTTTGGTTCTGCAGTTATCCAACTTTGTCTTACACAATAAAGCTGTAGTTTACATCAACGTTCCGTAACACATCTGAGATCCACTCTTAGGGTGGATCATGCTCCTGAGCTGATTCATGATGGGGAATTTGATCAAGTAAAGAGGGTCATGGGTTACAGCAGTCTAAATCGTTCTAATTTGTAGACTTCCAGAGCTAAGTTCATGGTGGGGAATACGATCAAGTAAAGAGGGTCATGGTTACAGCAGTCTAAATCGTTCTAATTTGTAGACTTCCAGAGCTAAGGATGTCCTGAAATGAAGTGGTATATTGCAATTCCTCCACAGAGAGATTAAGACCCTTAGTAAGGTGGTGAGAGACAGAATTCCTTAGCTTTGTTCTGCTGTTTAATAACCACCTCGTGTCTGGTGAGTTTTGAGTTTGATGTGAGTGGGTTGCATTTTGAGCACTCCAACTGTGGTACACTGGGACTGAAGCAAGCCAACATAGGAAAGATCTCATATATTCATTAGGAATTCCTACAGGGTGTGCTTGGTATTTATAAGTGTAATTTTAAGAATGCTATAATCCTGTAAAATTAGGAAATATTTTTATTCCAATAAAGCTGTTTAAATTTTTGCTTGTATGAAAGAGAACATTGTAAAGCTGGTTGGGCTGTGTATATGAGACTTTTTCCCATTGATTCTTTATTTTTTGTTCTCTGGCCACCTTGAAGAGCTAAAGAAGACATATATATATACACTTCTGCTGAAAACACAGTCCTCACCAAAACACAGCTTGGGCCATACTGAGTCCTACCACAGGTCCATCTAGGCCAGTATCCTGACCTGAGCTGGCTAGGAATGGATATCTAGGATAGAGAATAAAAGCTGGAAAGGCATATAAAATGACTTCTCAGACTGCTGTCTGCCACCTTCAGTAAACTGGTGAACATGGGGTGTTTTTTGCATTTCTTTTATTATAAATGCCAAGACTAAATTTATAAAGCTATAAAGTTTATGTGTTTGTAAAGTTTATATAGTTGGCTGAAGGAGATAATCAGTATGGAAGAGCTGATTTCATGCTTCTTCATGCTGAGGTTGGCCAAGAGATGGAATTTGGTCATACTGTTGTCACTGTTTATTTCTCAGCTGCTTTCCTTTGTGCTTCACTTGCTGTTTCTAGGAAGGCAGTTTTAGAGTATCTTAGGTTTGCTCAACTCCCTTGCATGATTTCTTGGGACAGGGGTACAAGAATTTCTTGACGTCTTGTCCATATCCTACAGGAAGAGACAAACTGAAAGTTGTTGTTTTCACAGTCACTGTACTTTAAATTATATCTCTTTATATTCACATTTCAAAGGTAAGGAGAGTGGTGCAGTGTCTGGGTTTCAGATGCTTGGGTAACATTTAACATGCAGAAATGATGCTCTCTGCTGTAGTACTGCCTTACCACTCTCCCACTGGCCATCTCTTGCCTCTTCCCTTCTGTGCTGATGGTTTCTGCACAAAGATACCTTCATTGCTTCTTTTGCTCCTTGTGGTCCTCCTGGGTTTTTAGGTTGATGTGTTACGTCTTGCTTTGGATGTAGCTAATGCTTGGCCCACAGGCTGAGCATGTTTCTGCAGTATTTGTACTACCTCAGGAATAAAGTTTAGATTTGTGCTGCTACTGTGATCTAAAACAGCTTGGAATTAATTTCAGACTATAATTAAATTGGCATTTGCTTTGGCTGCATTGCACTGGCGATACGAGACCATATCTGTAAACTTAGTTCTGAAATTCCATATTGCCCAATGGCTGCTATTCATGGTATTGCCCAGGAGGATTTTATTCTGTTTCAAAGCCAGATTGCTTTAACTAACAGACATGATGTCTTTGTACACATGTATTAAAATTTTGATAAAGGAAAGTGGAATATTGGCCCAGGGAAAGTGATTGTACCTTGCCTGACTTTGAGTGCTCGTGGACTTTCACGCTCAGTCTCTCCTCTAAAATTATTCCTTGGGATTACTTTCCACCACGGGCACCAGACTGAAATCTCACTATGCACGTGCATCACTAAAGTAATGTGAGGAGACCTTCAACAGTAGGGAGGGGATACTTATTTCTGTGTCTTATTATTGTTTGTAATGTTAAAAGTTTGGGGAAGTCTGTAATTAACTAACTTTTCTTTAAATACCAGAAGAAAAGCCAACATTAAGGGAGATTTTTGCAGAGGTTCTCTGTCCTGTGCCTCCTGAGGTGATGTGCAGGGAGGTTGTGTGCTCAGTGCTCACTGGTAGCTAAGGGATGGCCGGTTCAGGTGTTCTGGTGAGCATAAAGGAACTAGGGAATGACATTCCACTTGCTCATTAGAAGAAGAAGCACAAATGTTGTGCTGCCAAACACAGCAGGAACTTTCTCTTTCCAGTTTCTTATTTCTGTACCCAGTGATTGAAAGCACAGCTACCCCATACAGATGCAGGACTCTTTCAGTGAGAATTCGGAACATTTTGCAGCACCTTTCTTCTGAATCTCTTTAATACCCAGTTTTTTCTTATTTCTCTTCTATTATTTTTATTGTCCTTTAGCAGATGTTGGATTGAACATTTCTCAGCAGCCCTCTTGCTGAGTTAGTCTGCTGCTCTTTTTTTCATGTAGTTATCTTCTATATCTGGAATGAAATCTTCTTTTGTGAAGATTTTTATAAGATCTCTTTGAGATCTTTTGTTCATGTTTTGTTTGATCATCCTTTGTCTTGCACTTTTGACATACTTCTGTCTGCTGCTTCCTTGTGCACACTACATGTTGGCCCCTTCACAGCCTTCCCTCTCAGTCCTTTTATTGCTAGGGAATGAGTTATTTTCTCTACTTGAGCTCATAATTAACTGGTAACTTTTTTGCCTTTTTTTTTTGAACCTGAAGAAATGTGATGGTTGAGTGACCAGCTCTAGTATTTTTTTAAAAATCTGGTATTTATGTTGTTAATCTAAGTTTGCAACCACAGTGCTACAGTAACACTCATTTTTAGAAAGGAAGATATTAATATTTTTGGGGAATGACAATAGAATTGCCAAGATCCGTGCTTAGTAAAAGATACAGCCTACTTCTAAAGCCAGTAAAATATCTGAGCAAGATCTTTTATTAGGCCTGCTTCATTCATTTTCTTCTAGAAAGGCCGAGTTAATGTGTTTCTGAAAGTCATTTTTGCTGAAGATTTATAACAAAAAACCCTTAAAATTAATATCAACATAGGCTATCTGGAGCTCCATATAAAAGCAGGAAAAAGGGGCAAGATGAACACCACAGGCTCAAGTTATCTCTCTGTATTTTAATTTGCTCATCTTTAGCACTGTGTGTAGGGTATGAGGAGGACTAGCTTATGCCTGGCTGAAGCCTTTTCTGACGTTCCCCATCTGCTCTGCTTGGCTGTTCATTACAGTGATGTGTCTGTAACCCTGGCCCTGTACAGTCCTTCTACCCTATTCAGACTTTTTAGGCTTATTGAATGCAATACCTGGCAAACCTTTCTGATTTGTGTTGGATGTCATCCAGTGCAAGCCATAAAAACTGCTGAGGTAGCAGCTGCTCTGCTAAAGCAAGACTTCTTCACCTGGTAACAATAAGAGCCCTTGCAACATTTTGGTGTTGGATTCTCATTGCGTTGTCAAGCCCAAGAGCCCTGGACTCCTGCATGGTGTAGCTGGTGGTTGTCACCCTTTAGTTTGTGTGCTGACTTGGAGCAGGGTTTGTCTGTCAGGTTATGCATGGAGTGAGCTCAGGTGTTTGCAGGGTGAGTTTGCCTTCTTTCCTAAGAGGCTGGTTCTGATTTAGTCATAAGCAAGACCTGTGGAAATGCAGAATGTACTTGTACTGCGACCTGCAATAATTTTGTCATTCATTCCCCCTGCCCCTTTTTTTCCCCCAGATAAATGGCTCATTTAAACTGGGAGCTACTGAAATACTCTCTGGCTGGCAAATGCAGTGCCTAGCAGCAGTCATCAAGGACGAACCAAACATGAGTGGTGGAGGGGAGCAGGTCGACATTCTCCCGACCAACTACGTGGTCAAAGATCGCTGGAAAGTGGTGAGTAGCTCTGGCTTCAATGGCCCAAACAAACCTCCTCCTCCTCCTGCAGTGGTACAGCAACTTCCCTGCTTAATCCTGGCCTCTGGCAAGCAACGGTGGAGTGGTAGGGTTTGACATGTCAGCAAGATACTGCAGGAAGAAGGGTTTTTGAGTGGTATTTTCAGAAGGCTAAATCTGACAAGGATTTTTATGTAGGATTGAAATGTTGCAGCAGACTGAATAGTGTTCTAGTAGGAAATTAGATTTCAAATTACTATGGCAAAGAATACTGCAGACATGACTATAAATAGATTGCATTACAATAAAATAATGTAAAACCAAATGTTTTGGGCTGGAATGTCAGCTACTTCAAGAGTCAGAAAGTCCATGATTAACTAGCTGGTTCAACTTCTATGTAAATTTACTGGGATACTTCTTAAAATGATGTCATCATATGTTAAGAGTTTTAGTTCTTATCTCATCTGTTGAGCAAGCTGGACCGGCTTTGCTTTTAAAATGCTGAAAAAGCATTTAAATCCCATGTATACCATTGTCTCAATTTTTAACTAGAATTACCAGTATTCTCTGAATTGTTAAACTCCCAGCAGAAGCCTCGCTAATTTAAACTACAAGTGATTTGCAGTAATAGCACTGAGTTGTTCTTTATGCTGACTGGCTGTGCTACAGTGGCCCTGTGAGTTTTGCAGTGGAGTGTGGAGAGCAGAGGACTAAAGAAGCTTGGGACTCTGAATTCCCTTCAGTTCCAGGCTGTGGATAGGTTATTTTTCAATAGCCCACTTCAGACAAAATCTTATCCTTTCATTAGACCCAGCCCTGTTCTTGTTGCTCCCCATTGCCTCTCTTCACTTTGTTTCAGCATTCTCCTCAGCCTTCACTTTTCTGTCTGGCCAATTGCTGAACAGCCTATTTATATTTAAGCAATTCAAACTGTTCTTCATTCTCCTGGCTTCTTGAGAGCAGATGGAGAAGCTCAGTTTTCTCTGTGATTAGACACCAAAATGGAGACAACCCCTTTGCCCCTCCCAAAGCTTTCTGTCACAGCTGAAGGAAAGCTTTGCTGTGCTCCTGCAGCTCTGGACTGGAGAACATGTACTTGTTTTGGAGGGATGATCCATGGGCAGGTTAGCTGACATACGGGACTTGAAACGTGCCCTGTGCTTACCAGTGTCTCAGAAAATACTGATTGCAGCTTTTATCTCTCTCTCCCTGCACAAATAGAAATTTCCCCAGAGCCTGAAATTTGGTCAGATTGGTGCATGTTCTTTGCCAAGCTGAATTTCAGCACTCTGCTGATGCCTTTGCTTCAGGTGCATGATTGCTAATACTTATTCCTCCTTAAAATGAGGAAGAACTCGTTTACATCGAGGGTGGTAGAGGATTGGAACAGGCTGCCCAGGGAGACTGTGGAGTCTCCATCTCTGGAGACATTCCAAACCCACCTGAATGGGTTCTTGTGTCACCAGCTCCAGGTGACCCTCTCAAGGCAGAGGGGTTGGACTGGGTGATCTGCAGAGGTCTCTTCCAACCCAAACAGTTCTGTGGTTCTGGGATTCTCTGTTCTCCTTTACCTTGGCTAACTTCAGCTTGTACCATTCCCTATTCATCAGTCCTGGAGTTTCTCCTTCATAGAGAGGAGTGCTAAAACTTCTGTAAATGATGGGAGTATTTTTGTAACAGTCTAAACAAAGTAACTTCATTCTTGGCAACAGCAGAACTCCTACAAGCACCAAAACCTCCAAATAAAGTCTAAAATAAGCTTGGTGATGCTTACAGGGAACATTTCAAACCAATTTTTAAGTTGGTAGAGGCACTAAGTGTGGGATTCAGTGCTTCATTGTTGTATGAATCTGTGACTGGGGCCCACTAGAAGCTCTACCCACTAACTTTGCCTTAGAAAAGATAGAAATGTGCAGCTGTGTTGTTAACAACAACTACCTCTAATTAGAGGAATAACCTTTTGTGTTTTATAATGTCTCACAGTAGCCTTAAATACTGCAGTGAGGTCATTGCCCCACTTGAAGGCTCTGAGAAATGACATGACTTGCTAAAGGCTGTAAATAGCAATGAGGAATCCTTTTTCCCAATTTTGAGTAGAGCTGGGAACTTGACCATGTGCTAGCTGATTTGCACATTGTGAACCTTCATTGAACAGTCATTCCCCCCACCCCCCAAAAAAAAGTGTGAAGTGCAGACCCTTTCCTTTCAGACAGGCCTTCTGTGCCTTTCCCTTTCTTTAAGCTGGTGTGGGACCAGTCAGAACCACAAGGTGTGGGGGTCTTGGAGTAATCTGGAAAATACTTCTGGTGGCCCAAGAAAATGGACAGTGTAGGATCAAGTCACCAAGGAAAAAGGGACTATACCTTAAAGTCAGCATACAGCTGTAGTATCAGGAGTAGCATTTTTTCATTTTGTCACAGATCTTTCTGAATCTAGCCCAGAATGTGCCAGCTGTATGGTCCAGTCTTTGCTGTGGGTGATGGATCCTCCTCAAGCAGGTGTGTGACATATTTATGTGATGCTGGGGTGCAACTGCCAGAAGGTCTTTTCTGTAATTTGTCCTCCCAGTGTCTCTGGCTGGGCATCTGCTTGAACCTTGTAGCTCTTAGTGCTGGCATACTTCCATTATTGAGCCGATTTCTAATTTTAGATTGGTGTAATATATTCCTTGAATTCCTTTCCTTCTTTCCTCCTTTCTGCTGGCTGACAAAGCTTTGACAAATTAAGATGCTAGTTCTCTGCAGTTAGCCTGCTGGTCGTTCATTTTCCTGTCACTTGAAGTCAGTAAAGTTTGGCTGTCTGACAGCAGTAACATTTTTGTTCTTATTTATGAAAAAAGACATGGACAGGGTGTGCTTATGGTTTTTATCAAAACTTGTAGATTTGGAAGTATTCTTTTTAGTCATCATTCTTTACTTGCAGATATTTTTGATGCTTTGACTAGATGAAATTTAGGCAATACTGGAACCACATGACTTTTGCTGAGTCCCCAGGGGGTCTTGATCCACGTGTGCTCTGAATGATGTGAACAGTTTTGTTCAGGGGAGGGAACAAAGTGAAACGTAACTTGTACTTGCTTTGAACTGGGTATGGATGTTAAAGCTGAATTTTGATGCATCTCTTTATTTCACATAAATGCCTTTTACTGGGGATTCACAACTGACACTTATTAGCAAGAGAGAGTTGGCAGCTCCTGCACTGAGCTTTGAACACAAATGATGACTCCTGTACATGTGTATGTTCTTTTCCTAGGTGCAATCCATGTTTTATTTTCTTTCAGGTTTCTGAGCTTCTTGATCTGAAGCTATCCAGTTTATTTTGGAAACCTTGCCAGAAACCCCACAAAACTTTAATGGATTCTTTACCTTGTCTTGTTTAGAAAGACAATTTATTATTCCAAGAGGGAACCTGGGGCAAGGAAGGTTCTTTGTCAGACTTAGGGCCTGTTTTGGTCTCACTCTGAATTGCTTTAAGTGGACTTTCACAGGTCTTCAGATGATTTAGCATGTGGCTGGCCGAGTTCTCTGAAGAGTTTGGTGAACAAGGGTCAACTCTTCCTCAGCTGTTAAGTCAGATGAGGCCTACTGGCCTTTTCTGGATCAAGTAGCCCATTGAGTTGGGCTGCAGGAGTTGCAGGCTTGGCTGTACAAGTGCTCCTAGAAGACAGCCACAGTGGTCACTGTTTGACCTTGCCAAATCTTTGAAGCCTGTGGATGACAGTCTTCACCCTGGCTGAGTTCACTAAAGGTTGCTGGCTTTCCATTTGGTCCTTTGCATTTAGAGTGCACATTTCTTTACATTGCCACCAATCCTGACACCAAACCATTCCTGCCTTGGTTCTGGAATATTACCCTGGGAAGGTCTAGTCTTTATATAATATCCTTGGAAGGCAGACTTTGTTCAGAGCAGTGCTATCATACATGTTTCTGGAATAAAAGATTAAATTTGTATTCAAGCTTATTTTTGGCTGGGGTTGTGTGTTGCCTTGGTTTTTTGAACTGTGTCTGAAAGTACTGATTTTTGCTTAGTGAGAAGGCTGCATGTTGCTGTTGTTGTTTGGGGTTTTTTTTTAGTAAGCTTTGGAAGATGGTGCTACAAGAGTCTTTTTCAGGATAAATCAAAAATATTTCAGAATATTTAAAGGAGACTTCAAAGGGAGCCATCTGTGTCCTGTGTAACTCCTGATTGTCTGTGTCCAAGTCCAAATACCTACCTGTTTGATCAGATGAACTATTCACTTGATGCCACAGCCTGGAATCGACACCTGGACACCCAGCTCACACAGGGGCTCCTGCAGTGAGGTGGAATGAATCCTGCTGGTGTTGACAGCCTGTATCCCAGTCATAACAGTAAGTGGGCTGTAGCAGGACCAGAAGAGAATATTCCCAAGGCAGTGAGGCTTAACATGGGCTGATGACTCATGATGACCACTTAGGTGATTCTGGTTAGATGTTTAATTCTCTTCCTTGACTTGGTGTTTGCAGTTTTGTTACTGGTTTGGGGTTTGTTGAGTGGTATGTGCCCATCTCTCCTTTGTGTCCAACAGAAGGCTGTCCCGAGTTCACCTTAGAAAGTGAACTCCCATGGGGCACCCAGACTATGAGACAATGGATGTGACATAAGCCCCTGACCTCAGCCAAGACCTTGACTTACAACAGCTTGCTCTGGAACAAAGCAAAGGAGATGGCTGCTGATGGCCTCTCCGTGTTGCTGAAAACTCAAGAAGTATGGCAGTGCTAGTGGTGATGTTGAATAGATGGTACCATCTGGTGTGCTGGGAAAAGTATGCCAGAGAATAATTTCCATAAGAGTGTGAGCAAGGATGCAAGGAAACAAAGGCAGCTTTGACAGCCTTCCATTGGCTAGAATGTGTGTGTAAAATCAGTTTTCTGATTCAGCAGAAGCCTTGATCTTGATCTCGTGTGATCTCCCATTTGTTTCTCTGTAGGCCTTTGTGTGTCTTCCAGTTTGGCTGTTTTGCCAGGTGTGCAGTCTCAATATTGTCCCTCCAGTTCCCAGTTTACCTTTTTGCCTTCTGTAGCTTTTACTGTCCCTTTCCCTTTCTCATTAATATATCAGACAACAGAAGATCTTGTGTACTGAATCCTGAGGTATTAGCTGACGTGTTGTTGCTATGCTGAATGTAGCACTGTTTTGAAAGAAAGATTTTTAATAGCCAGCTCAGTTAGTGTGAATTTCCAAGTGGAAGTAGGGCTGCACTGTAATAATTTATGAATAATCTGTGGTGACCTAGTTATTGGCTGTTTACTGCATGAATATGTTTGTTTAGCCCCATGGAAGGTCATGAGGAAAAATGACAAGAAGTTGCTCTGGACAGCAGCTTTCAAAGGGTTATCAAGTAATAGCTTCAGAGACAAGGCTGGCTGTCAAACTGTTAATATGGAAAACACTTCTTCATGTGGAACTGTTTTTGTTTTTCTTGATCTGGGAGCCAGAAAAGCAAATTATTTTGCTTCACCTTTGGGAGGAAAAAGCCCTGCTCTTGGTAGGGAGGGCCCTTTGTTCAACAAACTGGACAGATGCAAAGGACAAGCCTTTGGTAGTACAGAAGACACTAAAATATCATCTAAACCTCATTAAACATTGTGTAAGATCCATGTTTGACTATCTGTCTGACTGAAACTTCTTTTCCTCTCTTAAGTATTACTGCTGATGTTGGAAAGAAGTGGCACTCAGGACTTGCAAAGCAGTTGTTAACACAGGGAACACAAAATGCTGAAGGGAAGGGCTGCAGCTTGGCTCAATGAGCAAGTGCTAAGCAGATCAAGGGAGCCCTGATCTATCTCTGCTGTAAACCTGAATTTCCTCCTGGGCAGCACAGTAGGCTTTAAATATATCTAAGAGAAACAAATATAAAATTACTTTCCTGGCATAGACATTGACTCTTGCAACACATAAGGAGTCTTTATTATGCATGATTATTTATAACTATGTGCACATATGCTGTCAAGTCTCAGCAGAAGGAGGATCAAGGAATCACCTTCCAGGAAAGGCAGAGGATCCTGACTTGCTCTCTGAATGGGAGGCTACTCTAGAACAGGCAGACAATCTGTCTCTACAAGGTACATATCAAATATGCTGAAACTTAGACATCTTTAGCTTTGTGTTTTTGTCAACTGAAGTAATGGATTCCTATTGTGGAACACTCTTTAATTTTGCAGAGACACAAAAAGCATAATTTGGTTGGGTTTCAAACTAAAGAGAAAAAGAGACTGAGAAAGAATGGAGTTGTACTGGTGGCTTGTACACAACTGTTTTGAGGTAGTGCTGTTAGCAGTTCTTTGAAATGAAACACTGAAGTAACTTCACTACCAGAGCAGGTAAAGCATCTTGTAAAAGATTCCAGTGGATGTTTTATTCTGTTTTTAAAATCTTTTGAATGAGATGTAAACTTCGTTTAACTTATTTCTTGAAAGATTAATTCCAGCTACCATGGTTATGTTTTACTGCAGAGATGTATTTGTTGGGGGGGAATGACAGTTGCATCTGTCATGGTCTGGACAGTGGTTCTGCTATCTCCTTGAAGGGTCTTTCCTTGAATTTTGGCAAGAACATCATGGAGGCAATAGGCATTATTATTTGCTTTTAAAAGTATCACCTGCCATTGCTTGCTAGGCTCATTCTTTGTTGTTAGAGCAAAGAATTTATACATAGCACAGTCAAGTGGGTAGCTGGATTTTTGCCAAGCTGTGCAGTGAAGGGATTCAGGCACAGCACAGATTGGGAGCTAAGCTTGTTCTCCCTACGCAGTTGAGGAGCAGGCTCTGTGAGAGGCAGCTTGCTGTTCCCTCCTGTGTACATTGTACCAAACCCCTTTGTACTTTTGCAGCTGAAGAAGATCGGTGGAGGTGGCTTTGGGGAGATCTATGAGGCAATGGATTTGCTGACCCGTGAGAATGTGGCCTTGAAGGTGGAATCAGCTCAGCAGCCCAAACAAGTTCTCAAGATGGAAGTGGCTGTCCTGAAAAAGCTGCAAGGTAAGGCAAAAAGCCCTTTGGAAGTACTACAAACCACTGTGCATATTAACAATTAAAATCCAAAGTTGCAAATGGTTTTTATAGTTTTCTCTTCAGCTTCCATCTATACATTATGTTAAGTCATCCAGCTCAGAAAGTTGTTACATTGTGCAACTCAAGTGAGATCAAACAACATGGGCTATTTTGTTTGCCAGGATATGAGGACAGTGAGGAGGCTTAGACTGAGCTATTGGTCCACTAGTGATACTGATTAGAAAATAAGGAATAAAGGGAGCAGCATCTGACTAAAAAATGAGGTTGCCTCCCAGAGGACATGGAGCACTGAAGCATGACACAGTCTCCAAGTAAAATGGTTGACTAGTAGAGAAATGCAAAAAGTGGACAACAGGAGGTATAGGGAAACTGAATATTAACTAATTTTTCATGTACCTCATTGTCCTGAAGGCAAAGCATGAAGTGGTGTGCCTATTCTTAATGAGGCTGGAATGGAGCTGTCTTGATGCAGTTGCTCCTGGTTGAAGGAGGGGGGCTTCTACTGAAAAGATTGCTGTGGAGGGATGTAAACGAGGAATTTCTAAATATGCCTTTGAGGAACTGAGAACTGATGTTGGCTGAAGGGCATTGTGCATGGATTTCCTTTTTAAGGCAAAGCCAGCTATTGCCAGGTACAGTTTATGTGTTATACTATAATATACATTTTTAGGGATGTTCCTTTCTGCAGGATTCCCACTTGGGCTGAGTACCTGCTGAAGCAGTCAGTGAGTAGGATCCTTATCACCAGGGCTCATGTTTCAGAGATTATCTTGTGGCCCTATGAGTCTATACCTTCGCCTTTGTACAAAATCTCCAGAGATTGAATTGAATTCGAGGGTGAGACTGTTGCAGGCCTTGTGAAATGAGTTACTCAATGTTTGTGACAGATTGCCTCTAGGTAAAAGCCAGTGAATTATTTTTGAAGGTCAAATAGTTTTCCACATTTCGGCTCTCCCAAGAGGAGGACCAGTAAGGCCTCTTTTGAATACTCTGGATTGTAAAAGATGCAGCTGAGCTGTGTAAAGAAGAAATCAGCCCAAGTCATTATGAGGACTCTTGCTGATCTGTGAAGGGCCTGGATACACAAGCTCCCAGAGAGCAGCAGAGCGAGTGTCTGAGGTCTGGACACACTGCCATGAGGGCATGTAAGGCTGTGATTGACAGTTTTTTTGTTTGGTTGTACACTTGGAACTGCTCTGAATTGAGTGAGGGTAGGACTATATGGAATGATGGATTTTAGAGTACCACAAGACAATGCTGTCATGCTGGCCACTGCCAATAGGTGCTGCATCCAGGGCAGGGAATGCTTGAAAAGCATGACCTGCAATCACTAAACCAGGACTAGCATCAGAAAATGTGCAAGATGTTGACTAATACTTGTGTTTATTTCTGGAAGATCGTTGAGAATACCAAATGCTTGAATAAACACCCACATTTGTGTACAGGATGATGCTGGTAACTGGGGAGAGGGAGTGGTGGTATATGGAACTAGGAAAAGCCCCTTGGCAAAGCAGTTAGTAAATATTCAGGGAAGGGACAGAAAAGACAGAAGAAGCAGAATTGGCTGTGTATCAGCTATCCTGCATGTAAGAATGACACATTACTTCAGCCATGTTTTTACAAATCAAGCTGTTCTGTGAGGAATTTAGCTTTTTTTGGTTGAAGGTTAATCCCCAAATGCTTTACTGAAATAAATGATAAAGTTAAAATAAGAAATTGGGTTGAGAGCATGGGGAATCACGTATTGTGTATGTTTTTACTGTGAGTGTTGCAAAGAGGTGAGAAACATTTCAGAAAGGGAGATACTGCCTTTTCCCAACAGTTGGTGAGTAGAATAAGTTTTTGTTATTACCTTAGGTGATACAGTCAATTCATGGATTTCCAGATGAAAAGCAAGGGAACAATATTGTCTAAAATTCCTCTGTACTTTTCTGGTAGAATTGAAAATTGCAGTCCCTCTTAAATAGTGCAGCTTTATTGCTTTCTATTTAGGTGTCACACCAACCTTAAGGGACTCATGAATGAGCTGCTGCCCTTTCCAGAGCTTGTGATCAGAATCTTGCAGGTGCTAGAGTTCAGCAGAGTTTGGGATAGAGAAGGTTGGCCATTGGCCCATACTGCAGACCTGGTTTGGGTACAGCCTGATCTCTGAGTGCAGTAGCTCTGTTTGGTGTGGACTGCAGGCTGTTGCCATCAGTTAGGCTTTCTGGGACAGTTTGTGGAATAGCCACAGCTGCAGGTAGGTCCCTCACAATGTCCCTCCTGCACTAGCAATCCCCACAGAGCAGCTGGGGAGCCAGTCAAGTAAGGACTCTTGTAGAGAGTCTCTGAACCTTCTGATAAACACCATGTGTAGCTTTCTGCTCTGAGGGTGGTCATGTGCTGGAGCAGGCTACTCAGAGAGATGGTTAGAGATACTGAAAACCCAGCTGGCTGTGACCATGGACAACCTGCTCTGGCTGTCTCTGCTTGAACAGGGGCATGGACTGGATGATCTCAACAGGTCCCTTCCAACACAAATGGCTCTGAGGTACTTGAGCCTGGCTGTGTGAGATCACTGCCATGTCAGTATCTCTCACCTACTCTGTAGAGTCATTTTGTTCTGCTCATACTTGATTTGAATTTTCTGAATGTATAGTGTGTTTTCTGCACCTGTTTAGATATTACTATGTTTCCCAAAGGCAAAGTTCTTTCTAACTTGCATTGTTGCTTACAGGGATCATAAGTTGTGTTCTGACCAAACTTCCAAATCTGTTCCCTGTCTTGGGTCTGTGAAACACCAGCAATGGTGCCCTTCTATGCTTTGGGTGAAACACAATTCAGAAGTTAGTTTATGAAATTTTTTTGCTCCAGCAGGTCATAAGCTGAAGATCTTAGTTGTCCTGTTGTTGCACCTTTACCCAAGAAATTTTTAGCAATATTTGCCTCTTTTTCTTCCATAGACTTTATTAGTTAAAATCAAAACCTGGTCCCACAAAGTTGCTGTAGAATATTTCCTTGTCCAGGCTGGACTTGCTGGGCTCAGGACATTCTGTCTGGTGCTACTCTATCTGGCCAATTCTAATCAGAGCACCACAAGATAGCTTTTTATTTTAATCCTTGTGAAGCAGTGTTTGCCTTACATTGTCTTGTTGCTCCTAGAGAAGCTAGTAGAGAATTACACTACTAGGGTTGAAAATCTTACCAATAACAAAGTCAGAAACTGTTTCAGGGATAGTTAGTGCACATCTGTACAGTGAATTTGTGCATGAATACAGCTTCTCTGCCAGAATACTGTTTTTGTGCCAAGTCCTCATTTTATTACCTTAACCACTACTGTAAAACTATCTTTAAGTGAGGTGTGTTTGTGTGATTGTACGGCACATCTGTACAGTGAATTTGTGCACGAATACAGCTTCTCTGCCAGAATACTATTTTGTGCCAAGTCCTCATTTTATAACCTTAACCACTACTGTAAAACTGTCTTTAAGTGAGGTGTGTTTGTGTGATTGTACCATTTGCACACAATTTTAACATACTGGGATTTTCTACTTTGCAGTCAAGCATTTTGAAACCAAGCCTAAGCTGCACTGACAAAACACTTCCTGCAGATTGTCACCAGCGGAGGAAGTTGCTGGTTTAGTTGGACCTGCCAGTGTTTTGCTGTGTAGACAAGCCTTTGGATCACATACATTAAAAAGTAAATGTAAATAAGATCTGTATGGCTAAGTGAAGGAGTAACTTGCATATCCAGAGAACAAGAACAGCTTTGGCTGGGTTTTCTGTGTTTCAGTCTCTTTAAGCAATGTCTCCATTAGTGAGCAGTGCAGTACCTGCAGATCAGTGGGTAGCAGCAGTTGCTCATGCCTATACATCTCAAGAAGATATGGTTTGGGGATTTTACACTATAAACTTCATGGATTTGGGGCATTTTGCTTTGGGTTAGTTCTAATCTGCCCTCCTGTCTGAGGGTGCATTTGTTGGTTTGGACTCTCATTTAGGATTTGGAGACTGCTTGGTATGCTCCTGAAATAGAACTTCGTGGTCTGTTTGCTCAGAGAAAACCTTACGTGACCCAAAGCCACTCTGGGAACACTGACACGTGGTAGTTGTGATGGTTTAAGGTAGTATGGAGGCTTTCTTTAAAACCTCATTGCTTCTATAAACCAGGACTCTGGCTCCTGGGTTTTTGAATCATGAAGAGAAAAAATGTGATGGTTTCCTGTCACTGAACATATGGAAGGGAGAGTACTATCACATCTGGATGAGCAGATGCTTTTCCATCTCTTCAATGATTTTCTAACCCTTTGAAATACAAATGGACAGTGACCTGCCTGCTCTCTCTGTGATTTTTTTCCCAATGTTGGATTTGCTGAAGAGCAATATTCAGGTGGCAAAGGAGCATCAGTACTACCCAGACTCAGCTTTCTATATGTGAGATCTTTGAGGTTAATCAAAATGCCACATCTCTGTGAGACCAGCTCTGGCATAGCTTTTGAGGTGCTTGGCTTGGGCTGTCCCTGTCAGTCTGCCTTTCTAACAGAAACCTTAATTGCAGAAATTGTAAACCAGTGTCCCTGATTAAATCCACTGGGCTGCTGCAGAGAGAGGTTTGGAAAGTATCTTTGGTGCCAAACCAGGAATCATGTTCTCTCCAGATGTTCATCTGGGGCTTGTGAGGCTCAGAAGCAGATGCTTTGAATTCAAAGGTATTCTCCCAGTCCTTACCCACTTCTTGGTAGGTGTCTCTGGGAGCACCCTGGGGTCCTGTGTGAGCAGAGCACTGCACAAGGATCTGTCACAAAGAGTGCAGTTTGTATGCCTTCTGGTCCATAGGCTCTCTAAAGCTGAATGTAGCCACAACATTCAGTCTCCTATGCTGGGATTCTCTTTGGAGCAGCCTAGCAGATCGTAATTTAAAATGGCCAGATTATTTTTGTGCTGAGCAGTGTCTTCTGTTCATCTGCAGTGGCAATGTTGCCCTGGTG